TGAGTTGTTCGCATCATGCTTGCATGTTTGCATTGCATTGTGTGTGCATCCATTGCCTCTCGATCAAGCATGATAGAGGTTAGGGCCCCTTATGTGTTTTGCGCATTTCATTTGATATTAAATTGCACACTTGGCCCATTTGGCCATCATGCATTGAAATGCGTGATTGATGGCCCGAGAGTCGAGAACTACACACCTTTGAGTCTTAAACATGATAAGGGGTGTAGTTGTGCAGACATTGTCTTGTAAATGTATTGTCATGCTCTGTTTGTCCTCTGCTGCAGCAACAGGAGCTTTTCACAAGAAGAGATGGTCGATCGACCATATTAAGTGCCGATCGACAACAAACATTTGGCCGAGAGCCTTATATTTGGTCGATGACCAATTTCCTATGGCCGATGGCCCTATTTCTTGGTCGATGACCTCCCACAGTGTACACAAGATGGTTCAGAAGTGTCACAGAAGTTGGCATAATTTTCAGAGGTACAGAGTAATGCAAATAGAGGCAACATGAAGCATGGCGATGGATTTCTGAGCGAAGCCGTCCGAGCATGCATTCATCCCTCGTCTCGAGGCCAGTTCAGTGTTTTAATAACGTAGATTAGTTATTTATTTTGATTTGGTTGTGTAAATAATTAATTAGCTTGTTAGTTAGTTAATTAGATGATTTGTATTATTCTTTCGATCCCTCCGTCGAGAGGGTGCAATTATGTAATAAGCGTGCGTGTGTGTGATGCATGTCTTCCAACCCCCACTTCTTTCTCCCTTTTACTTACCTGCTTTCAGTGGTTAGATCTAGGGCATATTTCAATTAACATCCTTATGCTATGCATGTTTGCACCATTCATTTGTATTGCATGCACCGGGCTCGGAGCATCATACTAACTGTATTGTATTTCAATTCTTACTTGAATACATGTATCGAATTGTCGCATCTCATATGCCATTTTAGATTAGCCGAACCTATTCTAGTTGCACTTTGCATGCGATGCATTAGCCATTTTAACATGAACTAGGATCATGCATGATTTCTAACTAGTTTCTTGTTTTGGCTCAGAGTACACTGTGAGTGTTTACGCTTTAGCATACTGCCTGTGTATATGTTGCCATGACAGCATGCTTGCCATGAGGTTAATTGCTTATGTGGTATAACTGCCTGAATGCCCGTGGGTGAAGGTTGGATTGCTTGAATTTTTATTGCTACAAAAATCTTGGGGGGATTTACTTCTAGTAAACTTGAAAAAGTCTAACTTTTAAATTTTTTTTATCAAAATATGAGATGAAAAAAATTATTAATATATTTGAAATAATTATTTGATTTTTTATAATTAAAAAATGTACCAAAAAAAAAAATAGAAGAGAAAAAGAATCTTTAATTTTTTATAAATTTTTGAATTACCTTTTAACTATTTTATTAACTCCCCAAACTTGGTTGTCTTTAGTTGGCAACACATATGACACCTTTTTTTTTTTCTTTTCTTTTTATCAGCAAAATAAAACTTTATTGATGCGAATAGCAAAATACATGCAAGAATACAACAGCAAAGTAGAGAAGTGCGCTGAGCATCATAACGAACCTCAACTAGGTTGACCGCCAAGGAAGCACAATCATATGATAGCACTTGACTCAAGATTGGTGAAGAGCCAATCAAGAGCAACCAAAAATAACCAAAACAGAGCACTAATACAACAAAAGCAGCAGACAACAAAACACAACAACACCAAATAACAACACATATGAAACACCTCCTTAGCAGCACCAAAATCAATGGGCATCCCACAATAGCAAAATCAACATATTACCAGAGCAACCCCAAAGTAGCACCACACACCAGCAGCAAGGAACAACAAACAAATTTGCACCAAACAGCAGCATATAAGACACACAGATCTGCATACACAACAATCCCCAAAAACAAGACACAACCCTCCATCCCCAAAATGACAAAATAGATATGCACATCCCAAAATTTACAGAACTTGAATAGTTAAGAGTTGCATCTAATCAAATTGGCCCAAAATAGAAAACAACAGCAGCAACAACTAGCCCAAATAGAAAGTAGGAGTAGCATCTAGCAACAGTATGAAGTAGCAACAACAACATCTTTACTTTAAACAGTATCTAACCTATTGAAGATTAGCCACCAAATCATGTACTGAAAACTAAAAATCCCTCCTACTGCTTGTCACTCACAATGCCACTCTTGTTTTTATCAGTTCAAGTAACTCATCAACCACCAAATGTTTACCATTAAACATCACCTCATTTCTCATCTTCCACACAGACCACATCAAAATCAGAGGCACAACCTTCTATATTTCTCTCTCCATTTTCTTCATCTTCACTCCATCCCACCATTGCAATACCTCAGCCATTGATCCTGGTATTGCCCACCGTAGATCCTACCATTTTATCACACTAGACCATAATAACCAAATCTTTGGGCAATGAAGAAGAATATGGTTTAAAGACTTTGTTTCATTTCTACAAAACAAACATAGAATACTAGCATTATCATTTAAAACTCCAATTCTCTGCATGAAGATAGATGTTTTGATTCTACCAAGCCAAGCTAACCAATAGAAAAACTTCACCTTGGGAGGAGCGACATTTCCCCACACCAACTCAGATATTCTGAATGCGGAGTCCTTATCTTCCACTTTCCATCTCCAGATTCAAGCTATAGAAAACAACCTAGATAAAGATGATGTCCACCTCAAGGAATCCTCCAATGAATCTCTAACAATTGGGGCCTCCAGCCGCAGAGCATCCAACCTCTCCACCTCTTCTATTTCCCAAGCAAACAAAGGTCTTCTAAACTCCAAAACCCAATTGCTTGAATTACTCATTCTCAGACTAATTTGGTTCATATAGACCTCATTCTCCACAGAAATATTAAACAATCTAAGAAACAAATATTTGAGGATTATATTCCTAAACCACCTGTCACTCCAAAATTTAATTCCATTCCCATCACCAACCACAATGCTTGCATTTTCCTTAAAGAACTCCACTAGTTGTGAGTTAGAATAAGGAAGATTCATAATACTCTACCACAACGTAGAAACCACACCTGAACTCCTCTGAAACAGTAACCACCTCCCTCTAGAAAAACCATATTTACTGCATAAAATCTGTTTCCATAGTGACCTGTCTTCAACCCCATATCTTCACCACCATTTCAAGAGTAAAAAATCATTCACTTTTGTAATATTCCTCACCCCAAGACCACCATGGCTTTTGGGTTTAGTTACCATGTCCCACCTGACCATATGCACTTTTCTTTTTGTTTTTGAATCTTCCCAAAGAAAAGCAGCTTGTAGCCTATTAATCTTCTTAGCCACACCCTTAGGTACTTTAAAAATAGACATGTAGTAAATAGGTAAATTAGCTAAGATTGATTTTATTAAAGTTACTCTCCCAGCAAAAGAAAGCAGTATCCTCTTCCAAGATGACAGTTTGCTCCAAGGGGTAGCCCCAAATACGTCAAGGGAAGCTTCTGACTCATGCAATTCAATTTTACTGCGAACTCATTAACCAGATTATCCTCAACACCAATCCCACACACCACACTTTTGTGAAAATTAATTTTCAGCCCAGACATAACTTCAAAACACCTTAGTATTCTCTTTACTATTACAATCTCTTCCCAATTTGCCTCACAGAAAATAATGGTGTCATCCGCAAACTATAAGTGAGAAATACATACCTTATTTGTTCCAACCCAGGCCCTTTTAAATAAACCAATTTCTTTTGCTCTTCCTAGTAATAAATTCAAACCTTCAGCAACAATGTTGAATAGGAAAGGAGATATTGGATCCCCTTGCCTAAGACCCCTTTGAGGAGAGAACTCATATGTAGGTGATCTATTAACCAACACAGAAATCCTAGCAAATGTCACGCAACACTTCAGCCAACTGATCCATTTGTCACCAAATCGAAAATTTGCCAACAAGGAGAATAAAAAGCCCCAATTCGCTTAATCATATGCTTTCTCAAAGTCAAGCTTGAGTGTTATTCCTTTCAATTTATTCACTTTCCACCAATCAATTATTTCATTCACAATCAAAACCCCATCCATTATAAATCCTCCTCCCAAGAATGTCAATTGCACCTCTACAACCACTCTAGGTAAAACCTTTTTTAATCTCCTAGCCAACACCTTAGCCAAAATCTTATAAGCAGAGTTGACTAAACTGATTGGCTTGTAATCACCTAACCCATTTGGATTATCCTTTTTAGGAATCAAAGTGATAAATGACCTATTGAAACCTTTAACCAACTTTCCATTAGAATGAAAATCTTGCATTAGATGTACAATTTCACCTTTCATCAATTTCCAGCACTTTTGAATGCAAGATAAATTGAACCCATCTAGTCCTGGGGCTTTATTGCCATCACACTTCTTCAAAGCAGACCAAATTTCCTCCTCTGTGAATGCTTCTTCAAGTTTCTCCACTTCATCCTTATTTGCAACAGACTTGAACAGCCCAAAAAGCTTTGGTCTATTGCTCCAATTTTCAGAATGTACCCCTTTGAAGTGTCTAAACACTGCTTGCCTTACCATACTGGGCTCCATTAAACACGACCCATTTACTATTACTGCATCCAATAAATTTTGACTCTGTCTCTTGTTTGCCATTACATGAAAGTGTCTAGTGTTTTTGTCCCCTTCCTGAGTCCATTTTACTCTCAATTTTTTCTGCCACATCCATTGTTTTTTTTTCCTTAACTTCCATAGTAAATCTCTTACCACTCTTCTTCTTTGTGTCTCTGACTCTAACAAAGGACTGGCTTTTGTTTTTAAATCCAACTCATGTAACTCTTCCTCTGCCATCTTCAATTGATTCTCTCCATTACCAAAAATCTCTGTGTTCCATATCTTCAAATCTCTTTTCAATGCATACAACTTTTTCATAAATCGATACCCTATCCATCCTTCAATTTCATTCTCTGACCAAGACCTCCTAACCAGCTCCAAGAACGTGGGATGGAGTGTCTAAGCATTCAAAAATCTAAAAGGTCGAGGACCCCAATTTCTGTCATCTTCCATTAACAATAACGAACAATGATCAGATATACTTCTAAGTAGGCCCCACAGCTTCAATCTAAATTTTTCACGCCATATAAAATTTACTAGAAACCTATCAATCCTGCTCCATCTATCACCTTCAAAAGAATTAAACCAGGTAAAATTTCTACCTAACATTGGCATATCTAAAAATTCCATCCGATCAATAAATTTATTAAAATCATTCATCTCTCTGTCAGTCCGTATGCAGCCTCTTCTTTCACTAATCCTTTGAATTACATTAAAATCATCTCCTATGCACCAAGGTATATTAAACAATGGCCTAATATTAATAATCAGATCCCACAGTTGTTTCCTTCTTATAACCTCATTTGGAGCATATAAGTTTACAACCACACACTCAAATGATTGATGAAACACACCTGAGAGAAGAATAAAATTTCTAGTGCTACAACAATCTTTTAACTGGAATACTTCTGGGTTCCAAACACAAATTAACCCTTCTGCACTCCCATCTGAGTCCACTAACATAAACTCAAAATTTTCTGATGGCCATAAGGACCTAACGAAATAATCATTCATACTTTTCGTCTTCGTTTCTTGCATCATAAGTAATTCAACCTTTCCATCAGACACCAACTTCTTTATTTTTCCTTTTTTTCTTTTTTCCCTAATCCTCACACATTCCATGACATAACCTTCATTGGCAACAATATCTAACACCTGCACTACCTTCGAGGATAGATCAATTTTGAGCCATCTCCACCCCTTTCTCAAAATCTTCAATTCTTTCTCTATCATTTTCTTCTAATTCTATGATTTTGCTCGTTACTTCCTCCTCATTTCCTTCATAATCCACCCCCAATACTTTCCCAATTCTAATTGATGTTTGAGCCTCATTAAGAAGCATTTTCCTTCTACTAGACCCACTGTTTTGTGATATTGATTTAGATAAGGCAACTATTGCTACCCTAAAAATTACTGCCCGTTGAAGATCACTACCAAAACCCATTGATTTTCTTCCGAATATTGGAACATCCTTCATTTTCCTACTTCCTTTGGTCTCATCGCCAGAACTTCCCCTAAACACCTATTTCCCTCTTTTGACTTTTGTACTCTTCCTGGTTCTAACCAACTTTTTTGTTTGTTTTGATCCATTCCCCACATTACTTGGGTCAGAATATATAGGGCCTATGATGGCATGGTTGGATAGTATACTCTTAACTCCAACATGGGCCCTTTCTAAAACAACTGCCATAATTAAATTGGGCCTAATTAAATCTGACCCACTAAGACTTCTCATAAACCCCTCCACTTCAGCACTCTTATTGGGCCTGATCATTTCTGCCTCATTACCTTTTTTTCATAGATAAAATATTATTATACTATTCCTTATTCCCATCCACTTCCTTTTCCATCATTATTGTTTCAGACACATGCTCCTCCTCATTAATGCAGTCCCCGCCGGTTGAACTCTCCAATTTAGTATCTGTATTTTGAACCACCAATACAGTCCCCTAATTTGAATTCCCCCCACCTCATTCAAACGTTTTTTCCTTGTGTCCACCCAATCATCCTCCATATTAGCAGCTCCCTCCACATCATCTCTATCTTGACCATCTTCAACATTTTGCCTTATACCTTTCACCTTTTTCGATCGTGGCATTTCTCCACCGCCGTTTACCGCTGGTAAACTCCCAACCATAGACACCTGATCTGACTCCTTATTCACCTCTACCTCCTTCTCAGTTTTGTGATTATGATACAACTCACTTGATGCCCATAAAGGATCGTAAACTTCACAAACATGGACTGGGAATAACTTACCATCACAATCCAGGAATAATACCGAGCTTATGGTATCCAAACTTTTTGTAATGATTCTCACCTTACCGTACCAAAATGATTTCATTCTAATTGTATCTTCATCGAATTGCACCATCTCTCCCCATACTTTGCAAATGTTTCTGAAACTATTCACATTCCATAGGTTAAGTGGAATGCCAAAGCACCATAACCATACACACCGCTCCTGCTAAAAAACTCCCTTTCGTTCCATTCAAACATTAAGTCACACCATTCATACACCCATTCTTTTAATTTTATATAACCTTCTTTCATTTCTGCTATTGAACTAAACGACAAAATTTCCATTCTTCCACCCCCTTCTCTAAAACAACCCCCTTCATCCCTCTTTTAGCAACTTTATTTTTAAAAGCATTGTAAGAGAAAAAAGCTTTCATCTTTACTATTAGGCTCTCATATAGCCAGCCATTACCTTCTTTACTAACTTTTACTGTTAGCCTCTATGTCCTCTGTTCAGACCTTTGTACTACTGCTTTAGTGTATGATTTCCACTCTACCTCCTCTACCCGTTTCAGTCTAGGTACCCACTGTGACTCCTTCAGCTGGCCTTGTCTTTTTACCAATGTACTTTGCTCCTTCTGATTTGATTTACCAAACTCTGCATTTTTTACTTTCAATAGCTTATTCTCAAGCCAGACCCCATTCATTTTTTGAACTGCCATGCTTGTAGTAACTAGGCAATCATACCTCACAAATCCAAACCTAGAGCCTGTGGCTTTCCTTTTTTTCATTGGAATGAATACATCTTTTACCACCCCAAACTTGCTGAACAACTGAAACAATCTCTTGGGATCCAACCTTTTTGGTATACTATCTACAAAGATAGTAAAAATGGCAAACTCCTTGGTTGGGCTACGTTGCCTACCAACCCTTCGTTGCTTTAGAACTGGATTCTATCCTTCCTTCATTGCGTCCATCCTCCTGTTCAGATTAGTTCTAGTAGACTCAACAACACCAAAGTCTTCTAAGCATGAGTTTAAAAGTAACATATCTTTACTCTTGTTCAAGTTAATGCGGTGAAAGTAGCATAAATCCTAGAAACAAAGATTAGTGAAAAAGGTCTTTTTGGTTTATCTTGTAAAAGCCATTTTTCTTTAGACCCACATACGTCCATATTATAGTGAGTAAAAAGTCAGTGAAAGAAATCAAAATCTACTTATGGTCTGAGGCAACCCACTTGCCTTGGCTTGGTAATTACTTATTATTGCACTTAACTGAAACCCTAAGTTTATTTTTGTGTACTGTCTTATGCTTTTCTTGTACGTTAATTTCAAGATTTTAGCCATTCAATTAGTTGATTCTTAGGGTTGACAAGTTTCTCTTTTGGTCTCTTCTAAATTTTTTCTGAATATTAACTGGTTATTTCATGTAGATTCAAGAATACTAGTAATTCTTCAATGGATATTAGCCAATATTTATTATCAGTTCACCCGCATCAAATTTTAGACTTTTAATACTGACATATCAATCAATATAGGATTGTATTACAAATATTTGTAAGTATCCAGTACGAGTCTATGGCTCAATGTTGCAATGTATCTTGGGGTTTAAATAATTAGGTGCATTATGGAGGTAAATCTGATTCTCTTGAAGTGATTTGCAGTAGTATAGCTGGTTCCTGTGGCAAGTTTCTTTTGTGTTCTTCATTTTACTTTGTTTGTTGTGATTATTGTTAATCAAAAACTTTTTACATTGTGTTTTGAATCATTAAGAAAAGGTCAAATGGGTTCTAATTTGACAATTTGATTGTTTGTGTTCCTATCTTTCTTGTCCTTTACTTCGTTTTTGAACCAAAGCTTAGGAAGGGTAAATGAATGCGATGGAAAGTAGGTAAAAGAAAACCTATATCTAGGCCTTTTGGGACCTAAACAACACGTGTGATGACTCTCTCTCTTCTCATATAGGCCTTTAATCAACCAGTGATTGTTTTTTCAACCATGGACCACAGGATAATACAGAAGAACATCTTTTAAATATAAGATCCAAACAAGGCATATGTAGTCGGTGATACTCCACTAATTATTTTTTTAGGGTATCACTTATTTATAATTTTTACTTTATTTAGTATTTTAATGGTAGAAAATTTGATATAGATGCATTTGTGGATATGAATCATGTAAGAATTTGTAATTCTGGTTAGATTTTCCATAGAAAAGAAGTAGATGAGAGTACTACATGGTTTGGGTGTTTGTGTAAGGAAGTAGGAAGTAGCTTTTTGAGTTGACCTTTGTATTCGGAAAAGTTGTATATGAAGAATTCGTAGAATCCCTATTTTGATGCTTAATTCGATGTTTCTTTTGCTTTAATGGTATGGTCTGATCTAATCCTGATTTGTTTGATTTGATTATATTTGTGTTATTTGGAAATGTAGATGCCAATTCAATTGATTGCATTGTTAAATTATTTTGATTCTATTGTTTTATTAGAGTCAAAAATTGTAGCATGATGTTTCCTATTTTTAGTATATCATATTTTTTAAGCTTTTACCCCTTTTTTTTTTCTCTTTCTTCTTTAGTTTTTTTGCACCATGGATAGGAGTTGGATGCAACTTCATAATAGAAGGTCACCTCAGTACATTGATGGGGTGACGAGATTTATCTTGTTTGCTCGTGATCATATGAAACCAGGGGTGGATAAGATTTGGTGTCCATGTTATAGATGCAACAACCATATTCAAAAAACCATAGAGGAAGTTAAAATTCTTTTGTATGCATATGAGGTGGTCACGAGTTACACTAGGTAGGTGTATCATGGGGAAGGTTTTGAGTTGAATGACAATGATGACTCACAAAATAAAAATGACGAATATCTCAACAATGTGATAGAGAAGTCAAATAGCCCCAATACTGAGGTGTGAGAAGTTATTCATCGCATACGAAGTGGAACAACTGCATTTGGTTATGTGGGAGAAGCATTTAGTAGTCGTAATCCTGACTTACCTAGTAGTTGTGGTGGAGAAACAAATAAATTTGCAAGATTAATGAGGTATGCAGAGCAAGATTTGTATCTAGATTCCTAACAATTCTCTAAACTATCATTCATGGTTAAGTTGCTACATCTAAAGATATTTAATAGATGGAGCAACAAATCACTCACGATGTTGCTAGAATTGTTGAAGGAGGCACTTCCCATTGGTGAAACGTTTCCATGCTCTTACAATGAGGCTAAACAAATAATTCAAGATTTAGGCCTCGACTATCAAAAACTACATGTATGCAAGAACGATTGCGTACTTTTTTGGAAGGAGTATGAAAATGAAGATGAGTGTCCTACTTGCAAAGCGCCAAGATACAAAGTTCGTAAAGGTAAAGGTAAAGGTAAAGGTAAAAAGTTCCCTCACAAGGTTCTGCGATACTTTCCTTTAAAACCAAGGCTACAAAGGCTATTCATATCAAGGAAGACCACTACTGATATGAAGTGGCACAAGGATAAATGTGTAGAGGAGGAAATGTATTGTGTCATCTGGCTGACTCTGAAGCATGGAAAGACTTTGACAAAAAGCATGAGTCATTTGCCAAAGATCCTCGTAACGTTAGACTCAGACTAGCTAGCGATGGTTTTAACCCGTTTGGAAACATGAGTAACTCATATAGCATATGGCCGGTTTTTCTTGTCCCATACAATTTACCACCATGGAAATGTATGAAGGATCCATTTTTTATGATGCCTTTGCTTATTCCTGGGCGTAGGGCTCCCGGGTTTGACATTGATGTGTTTTTACAACCATTAATAGATGAGTTAAAGGAGTTATGAGAGGTAAGGGTAGAAACATACGATGCATCAAATGGCCAAAATTTTCAATTACGTGCCGCATTGTTATGGAC